GCATGGCAGATATCGCTTTTGATAACATCTCCCAGGAGCTCAGAGGGTATGTTTACCCAGGAAAGCTTCGCCTGAAGCCTAATATATTTATGTTTAAAAATGAAAAAACCGGAAAAGTTGACCAGTTTCAGAGCTCTGATATTGTGGATGCCCAATGGATAGCCCGAGCCAATGGTCTTGGTCTCCGAGTTCACCTTAAAAATGATTCACTTCATAGATATGATGGATTTGGGGAAATTGATGCAGAAAAAGTTGCTTCGTTTTTCAAGAGCTATTATGAACTAGACATTGTTAAAAAAGACATCTGCTACAAGGGATATAACTGGGGGGATGTGGGTTTCGAAGGTACCCCCAACCTTATTCTAATCTCGCAATAGGCGACGTCCTCGAGTTGAAAGTTAAAAATTCATTATGCTTCGAAATACCGCTAAACAATGTCTCCAACGTTACGAGTAGCAAGAACGAAGTTGTATTTGAATTTCATCAGAATGATGAGGCTGAAGTCTGTCTTTCTGAAATGCGTCTATATACCCCCGGCACTGAGACTGAGCGAGAGGGCAAGGCGTCAGAAATCTATGACAGAGTCATGGAAAAAGCGGATATCATCCAGGTATGCTGCTAGATGATTTTAGTTTTGCTTTTGTATATTATTATTCTGTATATCTTTTAAGGTTACCGGCGACTCAGTTGTTGAATTCAAAGAGCTGCAATGTTTGCAACCTCGAGGAAGATATGATATCAAACTCTACACAACATTTATTCATCTCCACGGAAAATCGTTTGACTACAAGGTCCCTAAGGATACCATCACTCGCTTATTAATGCTACCACATCCAGACAACAGGCAAATGTTTTTTGTAGTCCAGTTGGATCCGCCCATTAAGCATGGTCAAACGCGCTATCACTTTATCATTATGGTGTTCGATAAAGATTCACATGCTGATGTCGAGCTGGCAGTTACGGAGGAATGGATAACAGAGAACTACGGAGACAAATTAAGCAAGAAAATGTCGGACCCAGAGTATGAAGTTGTTGCTCTTCTATTCAAAGTAAAGTTATTCAGTGCTTTTTTTTACAATGAGTTGCTTTTGCTTTAACCGTATTATCCGTTTTCAATTTACAGATTTTGTTTGGACAAAAAATCACAGTTCCTGGCTCTTTTAGGTCAAAAGCTGGTTCGAGTGCTGTGGCATGCAGTTACAAGGCATGCATTGGATTGCTTTATCCTCTTGAGCGTGGCTTTATTTTTGTTCCGCGACCGCCTGTTGCAGCTCGATTTGATGAGGTTATTAGTGTGCAATTTAGTCGAGGTACTGGTGCTCAACGCTCTTTTGACTTCGAGGTTTGTTTATAGCGATTTTGTCTCATGTCATCTGCGTAAAGATTTCGCAAGTTGTTTCTTGTCCAGCTGATATTATCCCCACTGCTATTTATTTATTATAGGTAGAAACGCGTAATGGTCTTACGCAAACCTTCACTTCAATTGAGCGAGACGAGTACCACCATCTGTATGATTTTGTTGTAGCTAAGAAATTGCGGGTCAAAAATGTAAACGCAGGTGGCGTGGACGCCACAGTAACTGACACTTGGTCGGACGAAGATTCAGATGCCTCGCATGATGCATATATGGAAAAAGTAAGTATTTTCCTTGATGCGTTGCCAGTTTTGTCCCAAGTTTATGTATGAACCTAATAAATATATCATTGCTTTTAGACGAATGCTCATATTCTTAGTTTATCTACTAACGCTGTGCAACAGACTAACGAATGATCTGTCAGCTATGTTTGTACTTTTATTTGTATGCTTTAAAAGAGTTATATTTTGGTATCTGCTCTGAGACCTATGGGAAAGTTTAATCTGAACAAGGTGATATTTAAGTTGTATATACATCAGAAGGCGTACAAAACCAATTAGTTTCCATGGCTGGAACCTGAGGTAAACCATTCATGTAAAGGACTGTGGCGTGCCATGGCGGCATGCAAGTGTGGCACGCCGATGGCCCCAGGGTAGACTGGGGTCCGAAATTTTTCTTAATCGTCTGCTGGTTTGAGCTTCAGTTTTTATTACATAGGAAGGTTCAGATCTGGTAGGTCCTAGGATAGGCCCGGTGAAGTGACGAAATTTGATTAGTCCGCGAGATAGAGGCAGGGTACTATCAAGTGATCTTTGTGTAA